AACTTAACGAGCGTATACGTATTTGTAAGGATTTAGTCATATTGTATCGCTAGAATATACGCACAACCCAATGGGAGTTAACCATACTTCTTGAGAGCACCATCACCCATTATCCTCGAATATATATCGTCAACAAACACTCGTCCGTCATCTGCATCTTGACCGAGACCGACAACACAATACATCTCTCTCTCTCTCTCTCCCCTTCTTCTTCAGGTCATTCTTCTCAAAATTAACCTTGGTAACAAGGATAGATGATGAGGGTCCTGGATTCGTAAGCTTAGTGGATTCAAGGAAGGCATTGCGGATTAGGATTGACGGGCAAAACCCCTGCTGTTACATGGATTATGACTATGTATGAGCTTATTTCATTGCCTACAGATTTGCAGAAGGGACTACGATGTATGAGTCTCCATCAGCCACACAAAAGCATGAAAAGCTGACTACGACTGTTGGACCAACTGTTATGTATCAAATACGAAGTATGACATGAATATCATCAAAACTCAAGGATCAAGAAGGTAACTGTCGGAGCGTAAATGAAAAAGCTTATGTTTCTTCAAGGCTCTCCAGGTTCGGCAATTGAAAAAGGGGCTGACGCCTGGCCGAGTATATGAACCGTACACATCATTGCTTGACAGCCAGTCATTGGTTGGGGGTGAAGTTTCGAAAATCATCACATCACCGACTTCAAGACCTTTTCATCCCACATCCCCACCATCATCCACCAAACTGCTACACTGATCATCGAATCCCATAATCCTGGCTGACCATTCGCACCAAACAACCAACAAAAGGCCAGATCACAAGACCACCTACCAAATGTTTGCTCGAACATCCTGTATTCCGTACACCTCGGGGCCAAGTCCATCGGTCTCATCATCATGTACATGACTGCCAGGCGCAGTCAGCACATCAAACAGTAATATACCGGCCGCATGGGAACACCACGATGCACAAAAACAAGCAGCGCCTCGTCAAAGTAAACTTTTGCTCACCGGCATCTCTTCCCCTTCTCTAGCCCCCAATTTTCTCGTTTGCAATAATCCAAACGCCTGTAACCTATGTCAGCATGCTAAAAGTATCTTATTTTATACCCCTCCAATCTTCTCGCGTGAGAGGCCAAGGCAGGGTAATGACAGCACAAATTTGATCCAGACAGTCGGTAACGTTCTGACGAGACGATACGATGCGCATGGCTAGCATCGTATTGCCTTTAGCCTTACCGTGCAGACACGAGAAACAGCCGCGAGCACGAGTGGGCAGGCGAGGAATGGTATGGCCTCATTTTTCATTTCCGGATGAGATTACGGAAGTGACATTGAGATGTACAGAGTAATGTAACGGTTTGAGATCTTTCCTTGACTTGGGGGTTCTTTCATGGTCCTTTCACAATAGTATATTTTCATCCTCAATGTATATTTTCATTCTCAATGTAGATTTTCATTCTCAATGTAGATTTTCATCCTCAATGTAGATTTAGACAGTACCTAGGTAACACACCATTGTGAAAGAGCACAAACACAACATCGACCCGGATCAACACAGCCGCCATCACGAATCCTACAAACCGAGTAGCTACGGGAGTGTAAACGCAATCTGGATCATTTCAATCAGGCCACGGTGTGTTATCCCAATTCCTAACCTCATCTTACAAGTATTTTCTTTGATAATGAACGGCATGTCTTATCCGTTCCTTCGCCCCATTTTATGAGAAGATTCGCATGCGGCTCAGAGCTAGAAAATTCTTCCCCCCCTCATCTATGATCGATTTCATAACCTTATTGCGTACTCTATACGAGGTTGTGTTTTTGATGGATGCCGGGTCCGTGTGCAAAGTACTTTTTCTTATCTTTTCATACTAAAACTTATCTATTTTGAAATTCATTATATCAACTAATATTAATATATATTTAAAGTTTAATTTCTGTATAGATTTTGATAAAGAATTTAATAATATAATTTTAGATTTTTTATTATAAATCTTTTTAATCTGATTGTTCAACACTTGAATGAATATTTAATACTTACAAAATAATAATTATTTTCGAAATCGAAATTCAATCTCAAATGAATAAATAGTTATGATTTAAAATCTAGCTTTTCTTATATCGTAATAATTCTTGATTAAAACTCTCTCTATCAATTGATTTTTGAAACTTTCTAAAGAATATCTGAATTATTATATATTTATAAAAAGACAGAATGAAATATAATTTTAATGAAGGAAATTCGTTAAAATATCAGCCCGGCATTTATCAAAAACACGCCCTCGTACACTCAACTCCCAATTGATAAGTCCGAAATGTCTTTCTAATCGGACCCTGTGGACTTTGCATACAATACTCAAGTATATCCGTCGTGTGTATACACAAAGAAATCTATTCCCTCTCCCTCTCCCTCTCCCAAGTCTAACACACTGACGAATGAAGTGGATCACTCCCAAGCCCATTTCCCAATCCTCAAATTCCCAATTTGTTTCACGCCGCGAAACATTGCGAAGCAAGCAAGCGTTCTTTTTTGTGTTAGAGTAGGTAATTAAATCTCCGCTTTAATGTAGAAAGATGGAGTACAGATAGATTAAACATATATACATTGTAATGAAGCTTAAAAGCTTACGCTTACTCTTAAGTTGACTCTATGGTTCGATGTTCAGTTTTGTTTCTCTTCTTGGGCTTGGGGTTGTCTATCGGTTGTGTTGTTGGCGTCAGTCAGCTTTGACGCGGAGGGCGTCGGATTGGTCGCTTCGGTTCGGGGAGGATGGGATGGGTGGCGTATGTTTATATGTATGTGTGTATAGTACGCTGGTAGGTAGACAGGAAAGCAGGTGGGAAATGAGAGGGGGGGAGTTTGACGAACAGATGGATAGATAGATAGATATATTTGAGTACCATCTATATCTTACACCATGTTATGTATGCTCGTCGATCTTCGAGGCAGTACAGAGTATAAATCTCCATTCACAGAAACTTTCTACGATCACATAAATGGGTCTATAGAGAGCAACTTTCTGAAAATCCGAATCCAACATGCTTTGATCTATCTACCGGTATCCATCCTTTTCAGGTCAATAAACCCCGAAGTTTTGGCATCGGGATGAACTTCGGTGTGTTGTATTTGACAGTATTAGGCAACATCTTATCTACTGTCCTCCACAACATACATCGTACAAGTAACAGACAACATCAAGAATCAAGACACATCCCAAATCCTGTGACCAGAAAACTTATGCTGCTACTGGTATATTAGTCCACCTCCACGCCAAAACCACGCATCTCCATGAAGTAATTCCTCCGAGAATAGATGAAGAAGAGATCATATACCGAGATGTTATCCCCCAAGGTGTCAATTCATAGCGCTATGATGATCCGTGCGATATACCTCGAACGATGAAGCCTGATTAGTTAGATTGATAATATTAATGCTTTTTCAGTTACTTTATTTACGAAATAGAATCGTGAATTCAAATTGTGATTTTTTTAATTTCTTTTTAAAAAAAGACAATGACTGAGAATTAGTATAGATTATCATAATAAAAAAATGTAAAAATACAATCAATAATGATTAGATTTTATATCAAAGATTGAATATGAATCTTGAATAACATTTCAGGAATCCTAATGATTTGTTACTATTAATGGGGTCAATGAGGTCCTGTCAAGCGATGGCGCCATGAGTTGGCACCTGAGGGGATAGCCTCCACCCACGTCCTCATCATCAACATCATACAACACCAAAGCATACCGTCCACCATATCAAACCAGGATCTGTTCATCCACAGCATAAGGCGAGGGCCACCGACGGCATAAGTTCGGATATATTCTCACATTCTGACCCTAGGTACTGTTTGAGTGACTCAAGAATGACTCCCTCGTATCAGCCTGGAAGATAAGTCGAGATCTGATAACCTTATTATTATACTTACTAATTCTTCCCCCATCTATATAAGATCTTGCTATATATAATCAGAGCACTGTAATAATAAGCATCCAAATGGAATGAATGAATGAATGAATGAATGAATGGAAAAACGCATGATGAAACAAATTGTGAGTATTACTTACCTCTTTCACTGGTCCCGAAACTCTATAGAAAAATAGGGTTTAGAATGCGGAATGATTGATATGATGTGATAGGTATGATATGTATTAGACATGCGTATGTAGAATGATGATGATGATGATGATGATTTGATAGATTGATGATGGATTGATGCGTGAGCTAACTTTAAAGTATAAAGAGACATACCGGTAATCGTTCTCGTTGGTATTGTAGGGTTTGAAGTGTTGGATTGTTGTATCTGATTGGTTGATTGATTGTCTCTTAACTAATTATTGGTTTCTTTCTCTCTTTCTTTCACTCTTTCTTCCGAGTAGATACTGCATTACCATACTCCGTACATTCTAAACAGAAAAACAAAACTCGGATCTACCGGTTTTCAATTGTGTCACCACATTCTTGAATTTAAGTTGAGGCTCAAGAGCAACGGGGCGAGGTAATTTTTAAGCTTAGCACATATGTACTACGGGAGGAAGTGATGCTTATACAATAATTTCTTATTAACTGGGGTATCTAAGGATTACAGTTTTATCAATACACATTAGACAAGAATTGATTATCTAAACAACCCCTTCTCTTTCTTTTTCCCAATTTTTTCTTTCTCTGGATTGTCACTCTCCCTCACTCACGCAATTTCTATTTCTCAATTTTCCATATTCTCTCCCTCTCCTCTCCCGGATCCCGAGTCTCCTCTAAGAAAAACTTCAACCAGCATGGAACTAATCAAAAACACACACACACACACACACACGCAAAAAAATATAATAAAAGGGCCCATCCACACCCCCCCCCCCATCAACGGCGTTTTCTTATTTTTCTTGGATTGTGCTTGGCGCTCTCTTCTTCGTATCGTGAGTGGATGTGTCCGGCCGTCAAAGTTTAAGCATGTTTTTTAGTCGAGGAAAATAAAGTGCTCAGGGTGTCGATCCGGGTCGGCTACGATGATTCAGAAAGTCAATGAGATGGGGTGGGATGACGCGGAGGTAAGTAAGTTGCAACGGCATCTTCCTTTGCAGTGAGGAGCACGAGATGCGCTCTAGGCTACTTTGAGCGTGGTGGCTTTGGAGGGGGGGGGCCTGGTGGGTATGATGGTCGGAGGTCTCGTTACTCGTATCATGGATATGGCTATGGTTGTGAATATGGTTATGGATGCGAATATTGATGCTTGTGCGATGAGGGTAAATCGCGAACGGATGCATTGATGCTTACTTTTGCGCACACACATATCCATCTTCATTCGTATACCGGTCCATCCATCCATCCATCCATCCATCCATATACCTAGTATTTCGCACAAACATACCTACATACATACTCTGTATAAACAAGCAATCCTCACCAAGCCCAACATTCACAGTGGCAATCCGTCCCTGATCCCCATCAAACCACATTGCCTCCGCACCAAGCAAACCCAAGAACCCCCTCTCGTACAGCATCCATAGCATGACACCAACCCTCTCCCCAAACTTCCTTCCCATTCGATAATCACAAACCACAAAGCACAATTCAATGCCCATCCTACACAGCCTCTGCCAATATCAAACTCGCGTTGATCACATTCTCCCCTTCTGACGAGCCAAGCATATTTTCTCTCCTCGCTCTTCCCCATCCTTCTTCGTATCCCTCCACACAAATACGAAAGAAAAAGAATATACTCCGTAATCTTCCCATCCCAATTTCACATGAGAACCTTACACGGCCAAGGAAGTGCCAAGGCACGCTGTGGCACATGAGAAGATTTAAGGTTAATTTTACTTGGATGAAGGGGAGGGGCTAGGAAACTCTAATAAACTTTAAATGATTATTGTGTATAATACGGAGTATTATATTAATAATAATAATAATAATATTATTATTATTATTATCACTCTTGAATTCATGAACTTATTATTTTCTATTTCTTTCTTTCTCTACGAATTTCTTTTTACTTGAGATGAAGAGATAATGAATAGAGTTATATGTATATATGTATATACTCCGAATAAATAAATGAATAAATGAATAAATGAATAAATGAATAAATGAATAAATGAAATAACTAGTTTCTTTCGTGGTGATCAAACTTAGAACTTAGTAAATTTGATTAGATTGTCATAATAATAAGGTTGACGGTGAAAACCACTTGCTCCGAAGATGCCGCGCTCGATCTAATTCAGACACTTTGTGCATCGAGATCTCTCCTTCGTACAGACGTGGAAAAATAGGTCGATATCTGGTATAGGGAGAGACTCATCGATAGATGAATTTCAAGCGATGGGAAAGTTTGAATTGGGGAGAGAGGAATATGTTCTAGATTTGACGAATGAGACGGTGAGGCAGATACCTCCTGTGTACGTAGACTCCGTTCGTAGGTGGTAGGTAGCAACTGTTAGATTCTCGTACCGGATGTAAGAAGAGGAGGAATACCAGGTATGGATTATGTACCAAGTCCACCGGTGGACAAATCATCCCATCCCATCCACTGCGCACAAACGATGCGAACCCGATGGCCAATTCCCCGGTCGCACAAACGAGGGTGTTACTCACATACCGGACGTCAACTTTTATGGATGAGGGATGATGATGTGTGATGACTACGAGGGCGTGTACGGAGATACCTAGGTCGCTCAGGTCGTAATGGATACGAGAAGAGGAAAGATCGTGCGATAGCCGGAACCTTAAGCTTATTACTCTTAAATTCTTATTTGTATGTACGAGATGTACGAATATTCGTGTAGTGATTAAAGAGATAAGTGTTACGACGGCATCCAACATACCGCGTCACATGACATAAATTACACGTGATGGAGCGTCAAGGAGCTTCAGCGATCCTTAACGATCCAACATATCGGAGAGGTCCTAGGGATCAGGATAGAGAACGAAGGTTTATATAAGGGAATGGGTTTTATTACAAAATGTAGAGCTTCATGCTTAAGAACAATCATTAATTTTATTACTATAATTATGAGAATTGTAACCAGTTATTAACCTTATTGAATTTCTACTTGAAGTCTAGTTTAAACCACCTTGAGAGATCTTTAGCCACTTTTATGTGACTCTAGAGGCAGCTTCTGTAACAATAAGTAAGTAATATAAAATACATCTAAATGTATTCTCCTTTTAGGCCTTTGAATAAATCAAATTATATTACTTATTGAAAATTTATATAGTAAAATGTATTTAGTGAAAGTTTTATAAAAGTTTTATTTCATTTAAAAAAAATTAAGTTTTATTTAAAAATTATTACTTTTAATTAGAATTTGAATTCGAATTCTTATTATAAGTCTATTTAGAATTAATAGAAAACCATAAAAGCTTTAAATATTATAAAACTATTAAAGTTAATAAAAAGCAAATAAAAGCTTTAATTATTAAATTTTGAGAAGAAATAATCTATTATCTATTTAATTTATTTAAAGTAATAATAAATTCTATAAAAACAATAAGATTTTAATAAAAGTAAGGTTTATATTACTTATTCATATAACCTCTATACAGATATTCGTGTAGATAATTATGTATGTATATAATTAGTATTAGTATTACAACGGAGACTCGGGTAGTTACATTGTGTATACGAAATGAGAGAGACAGTTCCGGTGAGAGGAATAGAAAGGAATGAGGAGATGGGGTAACAATAAGAAATAAGGCTGGGAGTGAGATGGTGAGCCTATCCTTATTTGGTTCTAGATGGATGTAAACATCCGTTTGTGGTTGCTGGTTTGTGAGGTGCGATGAGTGCCAAGATTACACAGATCAGTCGTGCGTGAAATGAGGGGCCTTTGGGTTTCTTGGTAGAGTAATAATGGGTGTTCAGCCGCCAATATATGCGCAATGGAATGGATACGCAATTGAGAAGTTGCTTTGCGGCGGCGTGGCATATGGGTTTACTCTTACTATGTGAGCTGTGATTCGTACGGGTGGGATATGGGGCTAATGGCTTGATATGTCGGGGGTGCTTGATCATCTCGCGACTCTCATCACTCTATCTTCATCAGTAGCTATTCATCATCAGCTATTCATCGTCACCACTAACCATAATCCTAACCTCACAAAACAATACCAGAAACATCGTCTCCTCGGTCTCATACTCAGCACGCAAAAGACGGCACATAAACCTATCTAGATTACAATCCAAGCAAATCATCGAACGTCAAAAGCTCAGGAAGCAATCCAATCCAATCCATTCTAATTCTCCCTCCGCACTCATACCGGTAATCCCCATGGGAAACCCTCACAATCACAAGTAAGCATCGCATGCAAGACCCCAAACCCCATCTCCTAAATCCGATTCGGTTATTCGCCTCCTCCCAAATCCCAAGAATGAGGGTCGCGGTGGAGAAGCGCCAGTCAGCTACATATCACATCTCTGCATCTGACGTCCTAGACACGACACCCATCGTACCGAGCCCACGAATCGCATGTGTTAGCCTGAAAGAGTAGGTACCTATTGGACATGGGCTTATGTATAAGCTCACAGTGCGATGCTTGGCGTCAGCGTGATATTTCAGACTGGCTGGACCTTGTTTGAGAAGGGACTCGAGGCTAGACTGTGAGTATGGAAATGGAATCTTGCAATCTTGTGCTCGTGGAGATTTGGAGATGGAAATGAATGGGATGCTGAGAGCAAAAATGACCATCTGACATCTCTGTAGAATTCATCCCATGATTCTTATCTCGCGCCACCATGTTGGGGGAAAGAAGCTTAGGTTAGATAAACACCTAGACGAGAGATCAAATGAATGAATGCTATAATATTCGTGATTCCATCAGTACATCTATCCATCCAGCCATGAATTTTTCGATAAGATCTCTGATCTTTTCCTGAAAAGTAAATTGCATATATAAGTACATGCATACATCATACCTATACATGTATGTCGATCAAACAGATACCATTAACGTGGTTTATCATCGAGTGGCCTATATCATCGAGTGGCCCACTTTCACCTCAATTTACACTTTCAAATCCATATTATTCAACAATAATTAAATCAATTGATTGAAACTATTAAGAATCTAATAATTTAGAATCTATTATATTATTTTGATAGGTTCTTATATTATATCCTATCTTTCCGTATTTATTATAATATTAATTAGAAGATACTTTTTTATTAGAATTCCCCTTTTTTTGATACTTATTATATTGAATCTAAATATCAATTTTTTATTAAGATAATATATTAAGAGCCTTTTATTCAATAATTACTTCTCCTTAATGTAATTGAGTTTTTTTGTGTGTTAATGTTTGCTTAATACTTTATTTACTATTCGAAATGTTGTTACGGGAGCTGCCTCTAGGGTCACGTGGAAGTGTCTAGAGATCTCTCGAGGTGGTTTAGACTAGACTTCAAGTAGGAATTCAATAAGGTTGTAACTGGTTGCAATTCTCGTAACTATAGTAATGAAACTAATGATTGTTCTTGAGCACGAAGCTCTACATGTAAGGAAACCCTTTCCTTTATATAAACCTTCACACTCTGTTGTCCCACCGATCCCACTCACTGAGAGTAGTGGGAGTAGTGGGATCCTATTAATCCCATTGATAATAATCAGTGGGACTGATGGGACGGTCCATTACGTGACACTAGTCCTGTGAGTCTTGTCGTCCTATCTTATTTCCTGTCCTAGGGCTAATCCCTTGGGAGCTTACTAATCCTAGCAAGACCTCTCTTGCTTACTGTGTCCTGTATTGCTTATTCTTCTTAGGACCCTACTGTCCTAGGAACCATGTCCTATGATTCAGTGTATTCTATAACTAATACTATATACATGCCTGAGGCGTCCTTAGGTGCCTAGTGTCCCCCGGTATACTGCAGTTGAATCACCGAGGCCTATAAGTTGGTGATTCTACAGCCTGTTACTTGATCCATCGTAACACTTTTCAAATATACTATAAAGAGAACGATATTATATGTTTATATTTATTACTATATTTAAATTATTTAACTCAATTATTTAATATTAACTATTTTAATAATCTAAAACATTTATATAATAATCAAATTAATAGATTTATTAAAATACATATCAATTATATTTTGAAGATTGAATTCTTTATAGCTTTTAAAATTACATACAAGAAATCAATCATCTTTTAGAATATGAAATCAGAATTCTAAAGAACAGGTTTAATCCCATTTAATCCTGAAATTGTATTCTCGAAATTAAATATTCAAATTCGCATACCTACCCCCCCTCTTTCAATCTAGATTAATAG